ATCCTTACTGCTGGCCCTCCACCGGGACGCTCTGGTCTTGCAACATCCATGCCAGACCATGGATATTGCCAGACCAGAGAATTGCGGTTAGGAGAGTTTCAGCCTGTATATGATTAGTAAGAAGCTTTCAACATTTCATTATATTAATAAATACATTTTTACTACACTCCTACTAAACATGATTGAAATGTTTAGTAATACCCATTTTTACTTAATTTATAAATGACACTTTTGCAGTTCTAGCATATTATACTATTGCAACATTGTTTTGATCTTACTTAAAATTAAACAGCATTTGTTATTTTTTACACTGCAATTATGACGGCAAATCAGAGCTGCTATAATTAAGGAAGCATCAGTGTTACCATCACAAACACTTATTTTCCTTTATTTTTCAGGGGGAACAATAAATTGAACCAGAGAATGCCAGGTTTCCTTGGGGAAACAATGAAGAAGCTATCAATTGGGGAAGAACACTGGGCCAGACTCTAACTAGGATGGCAAAGTTTACTCTTCCCAGCCCATACCTAGGATCACAGGGGATGATAAAACCTTTAAGATGCTGGCTTAAGGTGGTGGCAGAGTCGGTGTTCAGGAACCATCTGGGGGTGGGAGGGAGAAGACTCTGATAAAGACACACTAAGGGTGTGTCTACACTTCACCCTTATCTCAGAATAGGATACACAATTAGAGCTATGCAAATTGCATATCTAATTTCAATCTAATTTCAAAATTTCCATCTAATTTCTACACAGCGTCAAAATTTCAAAATAAACTGCTATTCCAAAATATCCCTTAATCCTCATGGAACGAGGGTTTCAGGGACTTCGGAATAGTGAGCCCATCATTTTGAAATGTATTTTGAAATAAGCTTGCTCAAAAGACATGGAATAGCTATTATAGGATACCAGAAGTATCCCAAAATAGCACCGCTGTCTAGACGTACCCCAAGAAAGCAACACAAAAACTATAGCAAACCTGCTCTCTCACCCAGACCAGAGATGGAGATAGTCAGCCAGAACGGAACTCACAAAAACTTGCAAGGAAAGATTACAGTGTAGGTAAAGAACTATGCATATAAAAGTTTTTGTTATGATCCACTGTTGTATGAGCTCTATACATTTGGCTGAATAAATAAGGCTTTGTTTTGAATGAAATATTTTTGAGTCACTTCAATCAGCTGCTGTTACAAGCTCCCAGAGGAAAACAGTTTACAGGTGCCAACACAGTTGGCCCTTTTGGGTTTACATGATTAATAAACAGAACTGAAGCACGAAGTTCAAGTCTAAGAGTGGTAGGACCATATGGTTTCACTCAGAAAAGGGTGAAGGTAGCTAAACCTCTCCCCAAAGAGGTGCAAGTTGAGAGAGATTAAAAGGGGTTTAAATTGTATCTCACCCTATAACTGAGACAACATAACTGACAGGAGATGCTATTTTAATATGTCAAAAAATAATCATCATCAACACTTTTAAATTATATTGGAGCAATATATTTGGATGCATTTTCTCATTAATATAACTTAAAACACATCCTTTTTTTAAGTCAGTGGAACTATTTGTGAGCTTAAAGTTAAGAACATGTGCACGTACTTTGCTGAATCAGGGCTTTTGTTCTTAGGTTATGGAAGCAAAAGGGGAGGGCCTGATCCTAAGGCCAGTGAGAGCAGCAGGAGGTTCAGGCGATGCTCAGCACCTTTCAGGATCTGATCCTAACCAGTTATGTAAATAAATATTTAATCACTCAGTAAGATGAAGTCCAAATTAAGGGCCTTCCAGTAAGAGTCCAATTTAATTATTGGTGTGAGAACGACAAACTGCATTTGTTGCATGGCTTTGAAATCAAGACAAAATGGTTGCTGCTGAGCCTGTTCTCAATGATGAAATATTGTGATTGGCCCAGAACAAACAAGGGACAAAAGGAAGGCAGGAAGAGAAGGGGAGTTTGGATTATGGATAGTTTTTCATACTGACACTCTAAACTAGAAATAAACTACCTTTTTTGCTTTGAGATTGATGTTTCTTAGCAAGCTTTCAGAAAGATCTTAAGCATGAATATGTATAAAAATTAAAGTCACTGTTTGACAGCATAAATCATATTCTTTATGGAAATATGCTTTTTGCATACCTGGAAAAAGCTTTATGTAAAATACTTCATATATTTCAAGCTGAAAAGTTGCAATTTTCTGAATGTGTATATTCAATTTGTGTGCATGTATTATTCCTGTATTTGAAGTTAGAAATATGAAGTATAAATCTGTGTTACTAAGATAGACATGCTAACTGAGGACCATTAAGGGTATTTCAGAACTTTTGATGGCTCATGGATAAGGACAACGATTAGTAAATGGATTTGTTTTTCTCTATAGACCTGTCCATAAGAGGGGCTGAGTCTCCCCACAAAGACATGTTTAGGTCACCTGATGCTGGGGACCCATCTTGTACTTAAACTTTTTCTCGCCTCCAGCGTAAAAGTACAAACTGACCACAATGGATTCCCGCCTTGGGCAAAATCTATATAAAGATGGGAAACCAAACAACAGGAGTGACTGCCAGACATCAAGACACCGCTGCGTATAACCCAAAGATGCTTGCTAGAAACAGCTAAGACTGAACAGAGTGAAGGATCAGGCTCAGGCTCAGGCTAGGAGGCTTTCCAGCCTGTGAGAAACTATTAGGACTATTAATGGTCTGGTAGCACTTTAAAGACTAAAAAAACATGGTGATTGTTTCATAAGCTTTTGTGGGCACAGCCCACTTCTTCAGATGACCGGAGTTATGAGTTTGGGATGTGAACACTCAAAATAAATAGGAGAGAGGAAGGAGCGGGAGGAGAAAAAGGAAGGGGGATGGAAGACAGAGCATCAGTAAGGATCTGGAGAATGGGTACTTAGAGCATCAGAGGTCTCTGAGTAGTATCCTTCCTGACATGGGAATCTATCTATTGACTTCGATTTTTATCTGCTTAGGTTTAAGTACCCATCTCCAGATACTTAATGATGCTCTGTCCCCT